GCCTGCTCAAACTTCTGCTTTTCCTTTTCTGCAAACTCTCGAGCTTCATGCTCTTTTAGCTTCAGCTCTTCAAGCTTTATGGCTTCTTCTAAACGACGTTGGTTAAGCTCAACAAGCTGAAACATTTTCGGGTTTATCAGACACAAAGCAAAAGAATTGAGAACAAATACAAAGATACGAAAAGATTATCGATGCCTTCACCTTTCGAGAAGCATCAACGGTTTCGGATTGAGCAACAGCATACATTTCTTGAACGTGTCTAAGCTCAGCTCTCAACTTCTCAATCTCAAAGTTTAGGTTTACCTGAACAAAAAACCTTATATTTTTCCGATTCACAACTGTGACAATGTCGAAATAATGGAAAGGAAATCCAATTTCTATACCTGGTTGTCTGTACAAGATTGTTCACTTAGAGCATCAGACGTGTTGGAAGCTTGTTGAGAAGCCCGAGAGTGAGGAGTATCGGTCACCATGCCAGTCCAACTAAACTTACTACCAACATTCCCAAATTCACGGTTGCTAGAAGAAGAACTCATAGCGTCTTTTCTCTCCTCATAATCTCTAAGCCGAGGAGTCCAACGTGATGTAGTATCCGTGCTGCTTCTGTTTATACTCGAAACGTCTTTAACTTCCTCTGCATCCAAAGACATGCACCTTGTTTCATCTGACCCAACAGAACTTGTTTCCATTGGAACAGATGCTTGTCTTGCAATTGTCGGGAAATGTTGCAATCTCCTAACCGGAAGGGAAAGAGCATGAGATTGAGGGTCGCGGGCACTTGACATTGCATCTGTTGATTCTAGAAGAGAAACAAGGGAAATAAATTGGACCTACAAACAATTTCTGGTAGCATATTCACACAAATATATTGATGAGTAATGGACCTGAGCTGGGACCGGAAGAACCGCTGGAGGTATCAGTTCTTTCGCTACCATCATCTCTTATAGTTGCATTTCCGTCTGAGTCTGATGGTCGGACGCATGACAATTTTCCTTTTGAAACAACATAGACTGTACAAAAGTTCGGAATTGAAGCTGATATCGCGGAGCACATATCAACTTTCCTGGAATTTTCAGAACACATTCATTGGTACAAGAAACCAGGAAATGGAAAGGTTCAACGCTAGTAGAACAACGGTAATGTACCTTGAGAAAAAACTACGGGATGAGCCTCCAATGACAAGTCTCTCTATTGAATTCTGAGTGATCTCTTCAGCTATTGCGGTTGGCGTGTTATCTGATTCGATCACAAGAACTTCTACTGCAACCTTTCATTAAGGCAATTCAATGAGTTCTTGAAACTTTAAGGTCTTGATCTCAGTAGAAAGAAAAGCATAAGACATCTGTAAGCCGTACACCAAAGACAATACCTTTCTCCGCTCAAACAGTTTTGTGAAAGGTTTAAGCATTTCTTTAGACTGCCACAGTATTTCTTGTCTATATGCAGTTACTACATCATCTCGTACCTCGGAAATAGGGATTGCATTTCCCACTTGAGAAAGAGCAAGAAATGGACATCAGGCTTTAAACAGCCACAATAAAAGTCTTGAGGGGCAAGAAGGAAACATAAATAGCTTACTTGGTGTAGGTACAGAAGTAATCCTTGGATGGATGTGAAGTAGCTTGAAGCAGACATTTCCTTCAGGAGCAAACTTTTGGAGCGCCCATGTA